GTCTCCACGAGAGAAATTTACGAGCAAGAAGGCGAGCAGCATGTCCTTTGTTGAAAGCAGTCTATCGAAGAGCACGGATAAACTGGGCTAATACTCATAGACACTGGGGAGTAGCTGAATGGCAGAGATGTTTCTTTGTGGATGAATGTAGATTCACATTGTATCAGAAAGACGGGCGTGTATTAGTATGGAGAGAAACGGGTGAGATATATAGAGCAGAATGTATGGAAGCAAGAGAGGCCTTTCGTGGTGGTGGCGTGACAGTTTGAGGGTGTATTAATCGGAATGGGAAGACTGAACTGGTAATTTTTATGAGAGAAAGTATGAATGCAGAACGGTACCGTGATTTGTGTGTAAGAGATATTGTTGTTCCATAAGCAAACAACTTTGGTTATGATTTTGTCTTTGTGGATGATAATGATCGTCCACATCGAGCAAATATTGTTACCGGAATTCTTAGGAATAACGATATTGAAAGAATGGAGTGGCCTGCAAAGTCTCCTGACTAGTCCTGACATGAATGCGATTGAGCATATATGGAGTAGAATGAAATTGAGACTGGCTGAACGGGGAAATGGTTTTGAAGATTTGAATGAATTGGTGAATGCAGAAAGGCAAGAGTGGGAAGCTATTCCCCAGAATTTGATTAAGGATTTAATAGATAGTATGCCGAGGAGAGCGGCGGATGTGCTTAGAAATCGGGGTGGGCCTACCAAGTTCTAATACTTTTGTCAAGTCCATGTTAATTTTATTGAGTTTTGTTTTTATTTCATTTTAATTACCTCTACTTATAACTGTTTTTTTTTTTTTTAATTTATTATTAGTACTCTAATAAATCTCGCTAAAAGTGGCAATGGTGAAGTGATATTTGTTATTCAATAACACATCAACTAAACTCAGAAAAAAAAAAAACAATTTTACAAAATTTCAGTTTTTTTCCGGATTTCGCCGGAATATTTCAAGCCGCCATTTTATTGGACATAAAATTGCGCGACTTTGCCCTAATTTAACCGACCTCGTATCTTTAATAAGAACCAAGATACCACTGGTTAGCAAAAGAGACACACTGTAAATTTTTGTACGACCCAGTATAATATGTTCTAAGTATGTTCTCAGATGCGTCATAATTGTAGTGTTTGCTTCGAATAGAAATAATGACTTCAAAAGCTATATTTTATAAAAAATCGCATAACTCATGGAATCATAGTGGGCTGTGATATTCAAAAAATCTCAAAAACGTCTCGAGGTACTAAGGTACTCTTTTAAACTGAATACCAAAAATTTACTTGACCCTCCCTCCAGCAGAATGGGGTGAACCCAAACTTTCGTAAAGAAATCGCTAACTTATGTTTCACCCTGTATCTTTCAGCAGGTGGACGGAAATCAGTTAGCAAATTGAAATTAATTAGCAATTAGAGCAGCCTTTCACTCCTGAAAACTTAAACAAAATAGGCCTGCTAGATTTTGAGTTATGGTCTTACAAAAAGTGACCAAAAATTGGGGTGTTCAAGTTCGATTGATGCGTAGAAATTCACCTGACCGTCATGCTACCGCTTACACATTCAAAAACGCGATGGTATTCTGCATACACATTGATGTTTTTGCCCGCGCATTCATGTATGTGCGTACATGTTTTCAGACATCCACGTTCGTGTGTAACCGCCTTTACACACAAATCCCGGTACCTTTCTTCATTCATACTTTCTCTCATTAAAATTACCAGTTCAGTCTACCCATTCCGATAAACCCCCCCCCCCCCTCCAAACTGTCACGCCACCACCACCAAAAGCCTCTCTTACTTCCATGCATTCTTCTCTATGTCTTTCCTGTTTCTCTACATACTAATACACGCCCGTCATTCTGATACAACATGAATCTGCACGAGTCACATTGGCTTTCGTCTACTCAGGGATTAAAAAAATAAATAAATTTTTATTTTGAAACCGGAATACCCAACTAAACGAGGCAATTTCTATAATAGAATGAGTCAATGATTGAACTAAATATTTAGTTGAATATTGGAAAAATTATACGAGGGTTTGTGGGGCTTTTCTTTCCAACGGAATAGAACATGGACAATCTTAATTTCTAAAAAAAAAAAACGAGGCAATTTCGGAAATAAAACGAGTCAATGGTTGAATTAGTTAGATAATGGAAAAATAAAACCAGGGTTTGTGGGACTTTTCTTTCAAACGGCAAAGAACATGGACAATCATCTCTAAAAAAAAACGAGGCAATTTCTGGTATAAAACGAGTCGATGATTGAATTAGTTATTAGTTGAATATGGGCAAAATTAAATCAGGGTTTGTGGTGCTTTTTTTTTTCAAACGGCATAGAACATAATGGACAATCTTAATATCTAAAAAAAAAACGAGGCAATTTCTGATATAAAACGAGTCAATGGTTGAATTAGTTAAATAATGGAAAAATTAAAACAGGGTTTGTGGGGCTTTTCTTTCAAATTGCATAAAATATTGGAAAAATTATACGAGGGCTTGTAGGGCTTTTCTTTCAAAGGGCATAGAACATGGACAATCTTAATCTCTGAAAAAAACGAGGCATTTTCTGAAATAAAACGAGTCAATGATCATGAATTTTATCATATTCATCTTTTAAATTTGTAAGTGTTGGTTTGCCAAATAATAGGTCTATTACTATTATCACATTCAAATTTTGGTGTGATAGCCATTTCGTCGAACAAAAGAACACAATTTTTGTCTCCTTCATTGAATCTGCTTGATTTTCATAAATCTCAAAACTTCATTTAAGATGCCAGAGTGAAATTTTACATGGGCAATAATTAATTCTTCTATGTCGGGGTTCTAAGTTTCTAAGTAAAGTAGAAAATGGAAATGCTGATGATAAAAATCTGGAACAATTTCAGAATGAAGTATTAACATGGAAAATCCGTTATAACAATCTCAAAAGGCGCATTTTAAAAATTTTAAACGAGGATCAAGAAATTTTGCTTGCATTAGGACAAGCAAAGAGCACAAAAATCTGGACAGATAAGAGGATCTTGAATTTTTTTGTTTTAGCAGCGGCATGACGTGGTACTGGAGGGTATGAGGCTCTTATTGAAATTGGGTTTCCTCTTTCCTCTTTGCTTGTCCCAATGCAACCAGATTTCTTGATCCTCGTTTAACATTTTTAAAATGCGCTTTCTGAGATTGTTATAACACGCTATCTACAACTGAAAAACTAAAATGTTTGGATTTAAAAAAAAAAATCCGAAAAATATTTTTAATCAAAAAATCTCGTTGAAACTGCTAAATTTAACTCTGGTATAAGTCTATCCACCGATATAAGAAATGTATTAAAATTTAATAATGCAGTGTGCACTTGGTAATAATTCTGCACAGTAGCGTAGAGTCAATTTGTTTCTAAGGTGCAGCTATTAATGTTTGGATCATAACATATCCATGTAGAATTAATTAATATTGCAGCTCTAAGCGAAACCAGAAGAGCAGGTGAAGGTCGAAGGTCAACTCAATAAGCACGGAGGATGCTATACGTTTTACTGGAGAGGAAAGGAAGAGAATGAGCTTCGCATCCACGGACTGGAATCGCCATAAAAAAAAAAATTATGGACCATATATCTTGCTGAGCTTCCATCCGGAATATGCGAAAGACGGATGACACTTATGCTAAACCTCAGCAATAACCAACAAGCTACGCTAATTAGTGCCTACGCTTCAGCCCTCATTTAACTGACGCCTGACGCTAACCAAAAAGAGGAATTTTATGCCCAGCTTAGTTAAACCATATCATCTGTATCTAGATCTGAAAAACTTCTGCTTTAAGGTAATTTTAACATCCGGGTCAATACAGAGTCAGATCTATGAAAAAGCGCGATCGACAAGGAAGGCGTCGCACTCTGAAACATAGCTAGAGGTTTAAAGGAGTATTATGGATTTAAGTCACAGAACCTGTGACTCGAATCCTAACTGCCTCCAATTTGCAATTAAAACAAAGAAATAAAAACTTTCGTCTTTTGAGTAATGACGCCTAGAGTACTATGGATGCTGTTGAAGGTGTAGCAGAATGACAAGGATTCCGAGATTGAAGTCCTCGCAAGATTGGTCGTGTTAGAATGTTAAAATATTTCATAACCTAATCCAGATATTCTCCCGACTACCCTTTTTTTGTTGTTTGTTTAGACAAATCCAATGAGGTGAGCAGCGATCGGTAGTGTGGATTTCACTTCGGTCATGATTCCAGCTAATGAATATTGTGTTGTTGAATTAAATAATTGAATTGCGTCTTTAATTCTTCCTAGCACTATAAGGTCTGTTCCTAACAGTGAAATGTACGGTTCCCTGCTGAGTTGGAACAAAGCCATAGTCTTTTTCGTTTGGCAAAACCATGAAAAAGAAACTAATCCGAATTCAATCACCTCATCTAACTATCTGTTTTTTTTTTTCGACAC